TGGCAACTGTGGGTGCTACTTAAGTTCCATGAATGCAAATTTCATGATAAGATGGTGTATTTGCTACAGGCAGTCTGCTTACAATAACACCTCCCTAAAAACTGCCAACTCTGCTGAGTTAAAGTTTTGTGTTAAAGGGTTAGTTACAGAAGAACGGGATTTATGCCAGTGACATGACACCAGCTATGAAAATGGAGGTGAATGAGTTGACAAGTTTCTGAAAATAGCAAATTAGGTCCTTGGTCAAAATATTACTGCACCATATAGAAATAGCCCAAATGTGGAATTTATGAATTAAAATTGTGATCCTATGAAACAAGTTTTTCTTTAATATCAAGAATTGTTTTTTTAAATTCCCACAATGCTGTGAATGAGAAAACAATTTAGGGGGTGCGAAACATACCCACCAGTAAGGTGATGTGACAGAAACCACAGATTGACATCAAATGGACAAAAACCTGAAAGAAAAAAAAAAAGACAACCAAAATAACACTGGGGGACAATTAAGGCATCTAAAAAAAAATTCCACATGGCTTTGGCTTATTAAAATATTTTACACTATTAAAAAAAATATTTGAAAGCATCTGAAAATCATGCAAATTGTTGGAAAACCTTGCATGGCAAATTCAGACAGTTTGCAAGCGTCATTCCGATGTTTGCCAAGGAAAATAAAGCAGCCCCTCTCCCCGTGAAATTGCACAGGGTGGGAGACGACCTCCCCAGTCTCCCTCTCGTACAGCGGGTGGCAGCCGGGGCCTGTGCAGCCGTCACCAACAAGGTGGTGGTGTCTGGAGCTGGAGGGGCTGTGGCGGTTCCGCTGGACGGAGAACAGCCCGGCTGGTTCCCCGACCCTCGGCCGCACAGGCTTATGGCGCTGGGGGACTTCGACGGCGTCTTCCACTTCGAACCACCCCTCCTCCTTCCCATGTTAGCAGAGTCTCCGCAATCGCCCGGCGTTTCCGTGTCCGCACGAACATGAACATTCGTTCAGTGTTGTCGGCCCTGGTTCTCAGACACGCCCAGGCGCCTGCCGAGTCCCCCGTCTCCAGCCCCCCGTAGCCTCCCTCACGGCGGCGCGCGGGCTCCTGGGCTCCTCGGCCCCTCCCGGGACGGTCCGCGGGCGGGGCGGGCGGGCGGCGCACCAGCAGCACCTGCCCGCTTCTCAAAGCCCGGCGGTCGCGGGCCGCGTCGGGTGGGGCTTGAGCTTCATCACAGCGGCGGGTTCTCGCAGCGCGGCTGCCGCGGACGCCGCCCCGCCGGGCGTGGGGGCGAGTGGGCCGCAGGGCTGCCGGGACGCGAGGCGGCGGCGCGGGGCAGGGCGCGAGCGCCGGTCGCTGGAGCTCGGGGCCCGGGAGGAAGCGCCGCCTCGGCTCGGCTCGGGGTCCGCGCTCTCCGGGAGCCCGCCGCCCCCTCCGGGCGCCGCCGCCACGCGAAGCGCGAGGCGCCAGGGTCGCACCCCAGGAGTCAACTGCGAAGACTCGCACAGACTGGCTACAGTAAACTTCTTTTTTTAAAGCTAAAGATAATTTTAGGAAAAATCAATACAAAGTACACAAACCAAGGTAATATATAAAATTAAATTAGATTGTCATCGGTGAACATATACTATTATGTCTCTCTTTTGAAAATTGAGATATACTTGACATATAATGTTATATTGGTTTCAGGTGTACAATATAATGATTTGATGTTTGTGTACCTATATCTTTTGTTGTTGTTGCTGTTAAATCTCACCCAAGGATATTTTTCCATTGATTTTTAGATAGAGTGGAAGAGAGGGAGGAGTTGAGAGAGAGAGAGAGAAACATCGATGTGGGAGAGACACATGGATTGACTGCCTCACACACATGCCCCAGCTGATGAGGGCTAGAAATAGAACTGCAATCCACCTATGTGCCCCTCGACTGGGAAGCACACCCACAGCCCTTCCGTCCCTGGGCCGGTGCTCTAAATGCTGAGCCAAACTGGCCAGAGCCATACCTATATCTTTGTTTATGAACCTAGACATTTTTAAACATTTTTTACATGTTCATTATTATTATATTGATTATTTTTTTCTCCTAGTTGCATTAGAACTTAACATGAAAACAGTTTTGTGAAAATCTAAAACTAGTTTAGGCCCCAGGCCCTGTGGGCTCTTCACCTCACATGGTTGTGGCCTTGCTGGTGATTACAGGTGGTGGTGGCTTGAGATATGGTACACTTATTGATATTTATAAAAAGGTGATTGTGCTGAGATACGGACCTTACGTGATTCTGAGAAGTAATCAAAATTTACTCTATTCTCAGTAAAAAGGAAAAGTGAAGTAGGAAGGGAAATATCTGAATTCTAGGTAGAGAGGGGTCCTAAAAGAGGGGCTTTTATGAGAGTAAAATAAAATAAAAATAACTATATATCTTAATATCAGACAGTATAGGCCCCCCAAAAGAGCCCCCCATTATTTCAGAGAAAATTGAGTCACTTTTAACTTAAGTCCTCATAAATTCTCTTGTAGTAAAAACAGAAAGCAGTACACTCACCTCAGCGATCATAACAACTGAACAAACAAAACCACCGATTGTCACCACTTCCACTCACAATACATCAGCCTCGTCACAGAACCAGCGCACAGAGAGCACTGAGACTACCAAAGAACCACAAACCAGCACTGTCACAGAAATGAAGGCATCGACTCATTCATTCTCACCAGGTGGAAACACACTTACTTCAACTGTTCTTCAGAAGTCATCCAATACTAATGAGACAACCACTTCATCCCATTCCAAGGTCAGTAGCACACCACTCCCAACGTCAGAAATGATACCATCAACAACCACAACAGACACGACTGTAGGACCAGGAAAGGACATGTCATCATCTGTACCTACAACTTCTCTTCCACCCACCACAGCAGATTCAGCAACAACTCAGATAAGTGTACAAACTACAGAACCTCCTGTCAGCACGTCCACTCAATACACATCAGTCTCTTCACAGAAACAACGCACACAGAGCACTGAGACCACCAAAGAACCAAAAACCAGCACCGACATAAAATTAAGCACATCAACATTTTCATCATCACCAAGTGGAAATACCTTTACTTCAAGTGTTCCCGAGAAGACATCCCACTCAGGTGAGACAACCACTTCATCCCTTTCCAGTGCCAGCAGTACACCCCTCCTAACCTCAGAAACGATGCCATCAAAAACCACAATTGACAGCACTGTAGGACCAGGAAAGGACATGTCATCATCTGTACCTACAACTTCTCTTCCACCTACCACAGCAGATTCAGCATCAACTCAGATAAGTCTACAAACTACAGCACCTCCTGTCAGCACCTCCACTCAATACACATCAGCCTCTACGCAGAACCAGCCCACATTGAGCACTGAGACCACCAAAGAACCACAAACGAGCACTGTCACAGATGGTATGACAACTCCTTCATCCTCAACAAGTGGAACCACCCTTATGTCAGGTGTTCCTGAGAAGACATCCCGCTCAGGTGAGACAACCACCTCATACAGCTCCAGAGTCAGCAGTACACCCCTCCCAATGTCAGAAACGATGCCATCAACAACCGCAATTGACAGCACTGTAGGACCAGGAAAGGACATGTCATCACCTGTACCTACAACTTCTCTTCGAACCACCACGGCACAATCAGCAACAACTCAGATAAGTCTACAAACTACAGAACCTCCTGTCAGCACCTCCACTCAGGAAACATCAGCATCTTCACAGAAACAACACACAGAGAGCACTGAGACCACCAAAGAACCTCTAACCAGCACCGTCACAAAATTGAGCACATCAACATTTTCATCATCACCAAGTGGAAATACCTTAACATCAAGTGTTCCCGAGAAGACATCCCATTCAGGTGAGACAACCACTTCATCCCTCTCCAGTGTCAGCAGTACATCCCTCCCAACGTCAGAATCCATGCCATCAACAACCACAATTGACAGCACTGTAGGACCAGGAAAGGACATGTCATCATCTGTATCTACAACTGCTCTTCCACCCACCACGGTACATTCAGCAACAACTCAGATAAATCTACAAACTACAGCACCTCCTGTCAGCACCTCCACTCAATATACATCAGCCTCTTCGCAGAACCAGCCCACAGTGAGCACTCAGACCACGAAAGAACCACAAACCAGGACCGTCACAGATGGTAGCACATCAAGTCCTTCATCCTCACCAAATGGAAATCCCCTGACGTCAGGTGTTCCTGAGAAGACATCCCACTCAGGTGAGACAACGACTTCACTCTATTTCAGTGTCAGCACTACACCTCTCCCAGTGACAGATATAACACCATCAACTACATCAACAGACTCCACTCCAGGACCAGGAAAGGACATGTCATCATCTGTACCTACAACTTCTCTTCCACCCACCACGGCAGATTCAGCAACAACTCAGATAAGTCTACAAACTACAGCACCTCCTGTCAGCACCTCCACTCAGGATACATCTGCCTCTTCACAGAAACAACACACAGAGAGCACTGAGACCACCAAAGAACCAAAAACCAGCACCGACACAAAATTGAGCGCATCAACATTTTCATCATCACCAAGTGGAAATACCATTACTTCAAGTGTTCCCGAGAAGACATCCCATTCAGGTGAGACAACCACTTCATCCCTTTCCAGTGCCAGCAGTACACCCCTCCTAACGTCAGAAATGATGCCATCAACAACCACAATTGACAGTACTGTAGGACCAGGAAAGGACATGTCATCATCTGTACCTACAACTTCTCTTCCATCTACCAAGGCAGATTCAGCAACAACTCAGATAAGTCTACAAACTACAGCACCTCCTGTCAGCACCTCCACTCAATACACATCAGCCTCTTCGCAGAACCAGCCCACATTGAGCACTGAGACCACCAAAGAACCACAAACCAGCACCGTCACAGATGGTAGCACATCAAGTCCTTCTTCCTCACCAAGTGGAAACACCCCTACGTCAGGTGTTCCTGAGAAGACATCCCACTCAGGTGAGACAACCACTTCACTGTTTTTCAGTGTCAGCACTACACCCCTCCCAATGTCAGATATAACAACATCAACTACATCAACAGACACCACTCTAGGACCAGGAAAGGACATGTCATCATCTGTACCTACAACTTCTCTTCCACCCACCACAGCAGAATCAGCAACAGCTCAGATAAGTCTACAAACTACAGCACGTCCTGTCAGCACCTCCACTCAGGACAAAACAGCCTCTTCACAGAAACAACACACAGAGAGCACTGAGACCACCAAAGAAGCACTAACCAGCACCGTCACAAAATTCAGCGCATCAACTTTTTCATCATCACCAAGTGGAAATACCGTTACTACAGGTGTTTTTGAGAAAACATCCCATTCAGATGAGACAACCACTTCATCCCTCTCCAGTGTAAGCAGTACATCCCTCCCAACATCAGAATCGATGCCATCAACAACCACAATTGACAGCACTGTAGGACCAGGAAAAGACATGTCATCATCTGTATCTACAACTTCTATTCCACCCACCACGGTACATTCAGCAACAACTCAGACAAGTCTACAAACTACAGCACGTCCTGTCAGCACCTCCACTCAGGACACATCAGCCTCTTCACAGAAACAACACACAGAGAGCACTGAGACCACCAAAGAACCACAAACCAGCACCGTCACAAAATTGAGCACATCAACATTTTCATCATCACCAAGTGGAAATACCTTAACTTCAAGTGTTCCCGAGAAGACATCCCATTCAGGCGAGACAACCACATCATCCCTCTCCAGTGTCAGCAGTACATCCCTCCCAACGTCAGAATCGATGCCATCAACAACCACAATTGACAGCACTGTAGGACCAGGAAAGGACATGTCATCATCTGTATCTACAACTTCTCTTCCACCCACCACGGTATATTCAGCAACAACTCAGATAAATCTACAAACTACAGCATCTCCTGTCAGCACCTCCACTCAATATACATCAGCCTCTTCGCAGAACCAGCCCACAGAGAGCACTGAGACCACCAAAGAACCACAAACGAGCACCGTCACAGATGGTATGACAACTCCTTCATCCTCACCAAGTGGAAACACCCTTACGTCAGGTGTTCCTGAGAAGACATCCCACTCAGGTGAGACAACCACCTCATACAGCTCCAGTGTCAGCAGTACACCCCCCACAATGTCAGAAACGATGCCATCAACAACCACAATTGACAGCACTGTAGGACCAGGAAAGGACATGTCATCACCTGTACCTACAACTTCTCTTCGAACCACCACGGCACAATCAGCAACAACTCAGATAAGTCTACAAACTACAGCATCTCCTGTCAGCACCTCCACTCAGGACACCTCAGCCTTTTCACAGAACAAGCCCACAGTGAGCACTCAGACCACGAAAGAACCACAAACCAGCACCGTCACAGACGGTAGCACATCAAGTCCTTCATCCTCACCAAATGGAAATCCCCTGACGTCAGGTGTTCCTGAGAAGACATCCCACTCAGGTGAGACAACCACTTCACTCTATTTCAGTGTCAGCAGTACACCCCTCCCAGTGTCAGATATAACACCATCAACTACATCAACAGACTCCACTCCAGGACCAGGAAAGGACATGTCATCATCTGTACCTACAACTTCTCTTCCACCCACCACGGCAGATTCAGCAACAACTCAGATAAGTCTACAAACTACAGCACCTCCTATCAGCACCTCCACTCAGGACACATCAGCCTCTTCACAGAAACAACACACAGAGAGCACTGAGACCACCAAAGAACCACAAACCAGCACAGTCACAAAATTGAGCGCATCAACATTTTCATCATCACCAAGTGGAAATACCATTACTTCAAGTGTCCCCGAGAAGACATCCCATTCAGGTGAGACAACCACTTCATCCCTTTCCAGTGCCAGCAGTACACCCCTCCTAACATCAGAAACGATGCCATCAACAACCACAATTGACAGTACTGTAGGACCAGGAAAGGACATGTCATCATCTGTACCTACAACTTCTCTTCCATCTACCAAGGCAGATTCAGCAACAACTCAGATAAGTCTACAAACTACAGCACCTCCTATCAGCACCTCCACTCAGGACACATCAGCCTCTTCACAGAAACAACACACAGAGAGCACTGAGACCACCAAAGAACCACAAACCAGCACAGTCACAAAATTGAGCGCATCAACATTTTCATCATCACCAAGTGGAAATACCATTACTTCAAGTGTCCCCGAGAAGACATCCCATTCAGGTGAGACAACCACTTCATCCCTTTCCAGTGCCAGCAGTACACCCCTCCTAACATCAGAAACGATGCCATCAACAACCACAATTGACAGTACTGTAGGACCAGGAAAGGACATGTCATCATCTGTACCTACAACTTCTCTTCCATCTACCAAGGCAGATTCAGCAACAACTCAGATAAGTCTACAAACCACAGCACCTCCTGTCAGCACCTCCACTCAATACACATCAGCCTCTTCGCAGAACCAGCCCACATTGAGCACTGAGACCACCAAAGAACCACAAACCAACACCGTCACAGATGGTAGCACATCACGGCCTTCTTCCTCACCAAGTGGAAACACCCCTACGTCAGGTGTTCCTGAGAAGACATCCCACTCAGGTGAGACAACCACTTCACTGTTTTTCAGTGTCAGCACTACACCCCTCCCAATGTCAGATATAACAACATCAACTACATCAACAGACACCACTCTAGGACCAGGAAAGGACATGTCATCATCTGTACCTACAACTTCTCTTCCACCCACCACGGCAGATTCAGCAACAACTCAGATAAGTCTACAAACTACAGCACGTCCTGTCAGCACCTCCACTCAGGACAAAACAGCCTCTTCACAGAAACAACACACAGAGAGCACTGAGACCACCAAAGAAGCACTAACCAGCACCGTCACAAAATTCAGCGCATCAACTTTTTCATCATCACCAAGTGGAAATACCGTTACTACAGGCGTTTTTGAGAAAACATCCCATTCAGATGAGACAACCACTTCATCCCTCTCCAGTGCCAGCAGTACATCCCTCCCAACATCAGAATCGATGCCATCAACAACCACAATTGACAGCACTGTAGGACCAGGAAAGGACATGTCATCATCTGTACCTACAACTTCTCTTCCACCCACCACGGTACATTCAGCAACAACTCAGACAAGTCTACAAACTACAGCACCTCCTGTCAGCACCTCCACTCAGGACACATCAGCCTCTTCACAGAAACAACACACAGAGAGCACTGAGACCACCAAAGAACCACAAACCAGCACCGTCACAAAATTGAGCACATCAACATTTTCATCATCACCAAGTGGAAATACCTCTACTTCAAGTGTTCCCGAGAAGACATCCCATTCAGGTGAGACAACCACTTCATCCCTTTCCAGTGCCAGCAGTACACCCCTCCTAACGTCACAAACGATGCCATCAACAACCACAATTGACAGTACTGTAGGACCAGGAAAGGAAATGTCATCATCTGTACCTACAACTTCTCTTCCACCTACCACGGCAGATTCAGCAACAACTCAGATAAGTCTACAAACTACAGCACCTCCTGTCAGCACCTCCACTCAATATACATCAGCCTCTTCACAGAACCAGCCCACATTGAGCACTGAGACCACCAAAGAACCACAAATGAGCACCGTCACCGATGGTAGCACATCAAGTCCTTCATCCTCATCAAGTGTAAATACCCTAACGTCAGGTGTTCCTGAGAAGACATCCCACTCAGGTGAGACAACCACTTCACTCTTTTTCAGTATCAGCACTACACCCCTCCCCATGTCAGATATAACACCATCAAGTACATCAATAGACACCAGTCTAGGACCAGGAAAGAACATGACATCTTCTGTACCTACAACTTCTCTTCCACCCACCACAGCAGATTCAGCAACAACTCAGATAAGTCTACAAACTACAGCACGTCCTGTCAGCACCTCCACACAATATACATCAGCCTCTTCGCAGAACCAGCCTACAGAGAGCACTGAGACCACCAAAAAACCACAAAGCAGCACCGTCACAGATGGTATGACAACTCCTTCAACCTCACCAAGTGGAAACACCCTTACATCAGGTGTTCCTGAGAAGACATCCCACTCAGGTGAGACAACCACCTCATACCGCTCAAGTGTCAGCAGTACATCCCTCCCAACGTCAGAATCGATGCCATCAACAACCACAATTGACAGTACAGTAGGAACAGGAAATGACATGTCATCACCTGTACCTACAACTTCTCTTTCACCCACCACGATAGACTCTGCAGCAACCAAAATGAGTCGACAATCTACAGCATCCACTATCAGCACCTTCTCTCAGGACACCTCAGCCTTTTCGCAGAACCAACCCACAGCGAGCACTGAGACAACCAAAGATCCACAAACCAGCACCGTCACAGGTGATAGCACATCTCCTCCTTCATCCTCACCAAGTGGAAACACCCTGACGTCAGGTGTTCCTGAGAAGACATCCCACTCCGGTGAGACAACCACCTCATACCTCTCCAGTGTCAGCCGTACACCCTTCCCAATATCCAAAACGATGCCATCAACTACCTCAATTGACAGCACTGTAGGAACAGGAAATGACATGTCATCCTCTGTACCTACAACTTCTCTTCCACCCTCCATGGCAGATTCATCAACAACTCAGATAAGTCTACAAACTACAGCACCTCCTGTCAGCACCTCCACTCAGGACACATCAGCCTCTTCACAGAACCAACGTACACCGAGCACTGAGACCTCCAAAGAACCACAAACCAGCACCGTCACAGAAATGAGCCAATCAACTCTTTCATCCTCACCAAGTGGAAATACCTTTACTTCAGGTGTTCCTGAGAAGACATCCCACTCAGGTGAGACAACCACTTCACTCTATTTCAGTGTCAGCAGTACACCCTTCCCAATGTCCGATATAACACCATCCACTACATCAACAGACACCACTCTAGGACCAGGAAAGGACATGTCATCATCTGTACCTACAAATTCTCTTCCACCCACCACGGCCAATTCAGCAACAGCTCAGATAAGTCTACAAACTACAGCACGTCCTGTCAGCACCTCCACTCAGGACACATCAGCCTCTTCACAGAAACAACATACAGAGAGCACTGAGACTACCAAAGAACCACTAACCAGCACCGTCACAAAATTCAGCACATCAACTTTTTCATCATCACCAAGTGGAAATACCGTTACTACAGGTGTTTTTGAGAAAACATCCCATTCAGATGAGACAACCACTTCATCCCTCTCCAGTGCCAGCAGTACATCCCTCCCAACACCAGAATCGATGCCATCAACAACCACAATTGACAGCACTGTAGGACCAGGAAAGGACATGTCATCATCTGTACCTGCAACTTCTCTTCCACCCACCACGGTACATTCAGCAACAACTCAGACAATTCTACAAACTACAGCACCTCCTGTCAGCACCTCCACTCAGGACACATCAGCCTCTTCACAGAAACAACACACAGAGAGCACTGAGACCACCAAAGAACCACAAACGAGCACCGTCACAGATGGTATGACAACTCCTTCATCCTCACCAAGTGGAAACACCCTTACGTCAGGTGTTCCTGAGAAGACATCCCACTCAGGTGAGACAACCACCTCATACCACTTCAGTGTCAGCAGTACACCCCCCACAATGTCAGAAACGATGCCATCAACAACCACAATTGACAGCACTGTAGGACCAGGAAAGGACATGTCATCACCTGTACCTACAACTTCTCTTCGAACCACCACGGCACAATCAGCAACAACTCAGATAAGTCTACAAACTACAGCACCTCCTGTCAGCACCTCCACTCAGGACACATCAGCCTCTTCACAGAAACAACACACAGAGAGCACTGAGACCACCAAAGAACCACAAACCAGCACAGTCACAGAGTTGAGCACATCAACATTTTCATCATCACCAAGTGGAAATACCATTACTTCAAGTGTTCCCGAGAAGACATCCCATTCAGGTGAGACAACCACTTCATCCCTTTCCAGTGCCAGCAGTACACCCCTCCTAACATCAGAAACGATGCCATCAACAACCACAATTGACAGTACTGTAGGACCAGGAAAGGACATGTCATCATCTGTACCTACAACTTCTCTTCCATCTACCAAGGCAGATTCAGCAACAACTCAGATAAGTCTACAAACTACAGCACCTCCTGTCAGCACCTCCACTCAATACACATCAGCCTCTTCGCAGAACCAGCCCACATTGAGCACTGAGACCACCAAAGAACCACAAACCAGCACCGTCACAGACGGTAGCACATCACGGCCTTCATCCTCACCAAGTGGAAACACCCCTACGTCAGGTGTTCCTGAGAAGACATTCCACTCAGGTGAGACAACCACTTCACTGTTTTTCAGTGTCAGCACTACACCCCTCCCAATGTCAGATATAACAACATCAACTACATCAACAGACACCAGTCTAGGACCAGGAAAGGACATGTCATCATCTGTACCTACAACTTCTCTTCCACCCACCACGGCAGATTCAGCAACAACTCAGATAAGTCTACAAACTACAGCACGTCCTGTCAGCACCTCCACTCAGGACAAAACAGCCTCTTCACAGAAACAACACACAGAGAGCACTGAGACCACCAAAGAAGCACTAACCAGCACCGTCACAAAATTCAGCGCATCAACTTTTTCATCATCACCAAGTGGAAATACCGTTACTACAGGTGTTTTTGAGAAAACATCCCATTCAGATGAGACAACCACTTCATCCCTCTCCAGTGCCAGCAGTACATCCCTCCCAACATCAGAATCGATGCCATCAACAACCACAATTGACAGCACTGTAGGACCAGGAAAGGACATGTCATCATCTGTATCTACAACTTCTCTTCCACCCACCACGGTACATTCAGCAACAACTCAGACAAGTCTACAAACTACAGCACCTCCTGTCAGCACCTCCACTCAGGACACATCAGCCTCTTCACAGAAACAACACACAGAGAGCACTGAGACCACCAAAGAACCACAAACCAGCACCGTCACAAAATTGAGCACATCAACATTTTCATCATCACCAAGTGGAAATACCTCTACTTCAAGTGTTCCCGAGAAGACATCCCATTCAGGTGAGACAACCACTTCATCCCTTTCCAGTGCCAGCAGTACACCCCTCCTAACGTCGCAAACGATGCCATCAACAACCACAATTGACAGTACTGTAGGACCAGGAAAGGATATATGGTCATCTCTACCTGCAACTTCTCTTCCACCCACCACAACAGACTCTGCAGCTACTGAAATGAGTCTACAATCTACAGCATCCACTATCAGCACCTTCTCTCAGGACACCTCAGCCTTTTCGCAGAACCAACCCACAGCGAGCACTGAGACAACCAAAGATCCACAAACCAGCACCGTCACAGGTGATAGCACATCTCCTCCTTCATCCTCACCAAGTGGAAACACCCTGACATCAGGTGTTCCTGAGAAGACATCCCACTCCGGTGAGACAACCACCTCATACCTCTCCGGTGTCAGCCGTACACCCTTCCCAATGTCCAAAACGATGCTATCAACTACCTCAATTGACAGCACTGTAGGAACAGGAAATGACATGTCATCCTCTGTACCTACAACTTCTCTTCCACCCTCCATGGCAGATTCATCAACAACTCAGATAAGTCTACAAACTACAGCACCTCCTGTCAGCACCTCCACTCAGGACACATCAGCCTCTTCACAGAACCAACGTACACCGAGCACTGAGACCTCCAAAGAACCACAAACCAGCACCGTCACAGAAATGAGCCAATCAACTCTTTCATCCTCACCAAGTGGAAATACCTTTACTTCAGGTGTTCCTGAGAAGACATCCCACTCAGGTGAGACAACCACTTCACTCTATTTCAGTGTCAGCAGTACACCCTTCCCAATGTCCGATATAACACCATCCACTACATCAACAGACACCACTCTAGGACCAGGAAAGGACATGTCATCATCTGTACCTACAAATTCTCTTCCACCCACCACGGCCAATTCAGCAACAGCTCAGATAAGTCTACAAACTACAGCACGTACTGTCAGCACCTCCACTCAGGATACATCAGCCTCTTCACAGAAACAACGCACAGAGAGCACTGTAACCACTAAAGAACCACAAACCAGCACCATCACAGAAATGAGCACATTAACTTTTTCATCATTACCAAGCGGAAATACCTTTACTGCAGGGTTTCCTGAGAAGACATCCCATTCAGGTGAGACAACCACTTTATACCTCCCCAGTGTCAGCAGTACACTCCTCCCAATGTCAGAAACGATGCTATCAACAACCACAATTGACAGCACTGTAGGTCCAGGAAAGGACCTATCATCATCTGTACCTACAACTTCTCTTACACCCACCACGGCACATTCAGCAACAACTCAGATAAGTCTACGAACTACAGCATCTCCTGTCAGCACCTCCACTCAGGACACATCAGCCTTTTCGCAGAACAAGCCCACAGTGAGCACAGAGACCACGAGAGAACCACAAACCAGCACCGTCACAGATGTTAGCACATCAACTCCTTCATCCTCACCAAGTGGAAACACCCTGACATCAGGTGTTCCTGAGAAGACATCCCACTCAGGTGAGACAACCACTTCACTCTTTTTCAGTGTCAGCACTACACCCCTCCCCATGTCAGATATAACACCATCAACTACATCAACAGACACCACTTTAGTGCCAGGAAAGGACATGTCATCATCTGTACCTGCAACTTCTCTTCCACCCTCCATGGCAGAATCAGCAACAACTCAGATAAGTCTACAGACTACAGCACCTCCTGTCAGAACCTCCACTGAGGACACATCAGCCTATTCACAGTACCAACACACAGGGAGCACTGAGACCCCCAAAGAACCACAAACCAGCACCGTCACAAAATTGAGCACATCAACTTTTTCATCCTCACCAAGTGGAAATACCTTTACTTCAGGTGTTCCTGAGAAGACATCCCACTCAGGTGAGACAACCAACTCATACCACTCCAGTGTCAGCAGTACACACCTCCCAACGTCAGAAACGATGCCATCAACAACCACAATTGACAGTACTGTAGGACCAGGAAAGGACATGTCATCATCTGTACCTACAACTTCTCTTCCACCTACCATGGCAGATTCATTAACAACTCAAATAAGTCTACAAACTACAGCACTTCCTGTCAGCACCTCCACTCAATACACATCAGCCTCTTCACAGAACCAGCCCACAGAGAGCACTGAGACCACGAAAGTACCACAAACCAGCACCGTCACAGATGGTACCACACCAACTGCTTTATCCTCATCAAGTGGAAACACCCCTATGTCAGGTTTTCCTGAGAAGACTTCCCACTCAAGTGAGACAACCACCTCATCCCTCTCCAGTGTCAACAGTACATCATTTCCTATGTCAGAAATATTGCCATCAACAACCACAATGGACAGCACTGTAGGAACAGGAAAGGATATATGGTCATCTCTACCTGCAACTTCTCTTCCACCCACCACAACAGACTCTGCAGCTACTGAAATGAGTCTACAAAGTACAGCATCCACTATCAGTACCTCTACTCAGGAAACTTCAGCCTCTTCACAGAAACAACACCCAGAGAGCACTGAAACCACCAAAGAACCAGAAACCAGCACCATCACAGAAATGAGCACATCAACTCCTTCATCCTCACCAAGTAGAAATATCTTTACTTCAGGTGTTCCTGAGAAGACATCCCACTCAGGTGAGTCAACCACTTCATTCCACTCTAGTGTCAGTAGCACACCACTCCCAATGTCAGACATGATGCCATCAACAAACACAACGGACATCACTGTAGAACAGAAAAGAACATGTCATCATCTGTACCTAAAACTTCTCTTCCACCCACCACCACAGACTTTACAGCAAGTGAAATAAGTCTACAAACTTCTGCATTCACTATTAGCACCTCCTCTCAGGACACATCAGCCTCCTCACAGAACCAACGCACAGAGAGCAGTAAGACCACCGACGAACCACAAACCAGCACAATCATAGAAATGAAGACATCAACTCTTTCATCCTCACCAAGTGTTCACATTCTTACTTCAGGTGTTTCTGAGAAGACATCCCATTCAGGTGAGACAAACACTTCATTTCATTCTGGCGTCAGTAGCACACCTCTCACAACATCAGAAATGATGCAGGCACCAACCTCAGCTGACACCCCTATAGGATCAAGAGAGGACATGTCACCATCTGTATCTAAAACTTCCCTTTCACACCCATCAGAAGACTTAGCAACAACTGAAATAGGTCTACAAACTATAGCACCCACTTTCAGCACCTCCACTCGGGAATCATCAGCATCTTCACAGAACTACCACATAGAGGGCACTGAGACCACCAAAGAACCAGAAAACAGCACCTTCACAGAAATGAGCACATCAATTCCTTATCCTCACCAAATGAACACAATCCTACTGTGCTTTTTTCTCAGAAGACATCTTCTTTAGGTGAAACAATCACTTCAGTTTCTTCCAATTTCAGCCACACTCTTCCTACAACTTCACAAATGATGACAGCACCATTTTTAACAGAAAGTATTGCAGGAAAAACAACTGTAACTACAACTCCTACTCCTGTCACCTCTCATTCTCCTTTCACTACGTTGTCCATAAGTGGAGAAATTCTGACAACATTTTCTAGATCAGTCATCCATGAAAATATGACTGCAGAGGTCATTCTCACTGTAGGTTCTGTCAATAAGTCCCTGACAAATACCATGCAAGTCCTGCATTCCTTGGTCAGGAAGTGAAGCACACCCATCCCCGAGCATCCGGCAAATGTTCAAATGGTAGCCTCCACTACCAACCCTACTACTAGGTCAACATAAGTGAATTCTATGAATAATTGTAACAGCGCAGCTGGATCCACACCGACTTTGTCATTTCTACTACTGCCTACCCTTTGATCAAGACCACTCCTACAACTTCTTCAGCACCAAAGTATTCTAAGAGTACATTGCCTACCCTGAAGTCATCAACAGGCTATGCCTTCTCTGACTATTTCCTCTGGTAATGGGGGCAAAATTCAGACCATTTACATTTTCTATATTTCAGCCAATAATTCTTCCTTCTCTCAATCAGCTTCTGGCCCTACAGTCACCTGGAGCTCCACCACCATATTCACAGGTCATTCCACACTTCTATCTGGTACCAGCACTTTCCCACTATCCACAGCATCTTCAAGCTCCACTGTGAAGACTGAGACATTAGGTAGGTGGGGACTACAGTGTCTTAGTCTGCTATAGTGGCCCCTTTGACTCCATTTGACCTAGAGGAGCACTCGAGGGAGGAAGGTGAGTTACATTACCAGTCTAAGCCCTGGCCGGTTTGGCTCAGCGGTTAGAGCGTCAGCCTGCGGTCCCGAGAGACCCGGGTTCAGTTCCCGCTAAGGGCATGTACCTCGGTTGCAGTTTGTCCCCGGCCCTGGTCAGTTGTGCGGGTGGCAGCCACTCGATGTGTTCCTTTCACATCGATGTTTCTCTCTCTCTGTTCCTCTCTCTCCCTCCCACTCTACCTGAACAAAAAATGGAAAAATGTCCTCGGGTGAGGATAAAAAAATATATAAATAAATAAAAACATTACCAGTCTAAGATTGAGGTCAGGTCCTCAAAAGGATGAAGTGAATAAGGGTGTGGTAGGTAATGGGGTCACCATCTCCTCAGCCCCAGCAGACAACTGCTTCTCTGTAGGGAGTGGTTTGTGTATGACCAGAAGAGAGATAAAAGGGTTTTTAGTTGTTTCTTTCAGCTCCTAAAATCTGTGACTCTTTTTGACTCTGCTACTGTCTGACTATAAGGCCCACTCCAGTCTTCTCTTTCTGCATGCCAGGAACAATCACAACCTCTCTGGGGACAGACAGTGGGAGAACCAGAGCAACGTCACTACCCTCAACTGTCCAGACCCTTAAATCCTCACCTCCCAGCACAGGCACACACTCAACAGCTACGCCCGTCCCTAGCAAGCCCGGGAAAGGTAAGTGATGCCGTGGAGTGAGGCCTTTCCACCCTGGGGTGCAGAGGGTTAAGCTAGATGTGGAGCTTGTAGCTGTGGCAGCTGGACTGCATCTCCCAGTGAGGGCCCTTGTGCTTATTTCTGTGGAAATCTGCACTGCCCCTTTGGGGCCATGGGAAGTCAAGCTGCTCCCCATATCTCCCTTATGGGGTGATGTAACTAAATGCTCGGTCTCAGTCTGCTTGCTCACAGACTTTGTTCTCTCACATCAGAAAGGCCTACAAGGGACAATGCAACAGCATCAGAGTTGGGTGCTGAGGGCTGACTTTGTACATGGCACTGGAATAGGAGGTAGAGATAGAGAAATGGTCAAGGTGATGTCCAGCAAGAGACAGATATGCTGCCTCTGTCGGTGCAGTTAGAGGAATAATGCCAGGGTATTAGGCACACACAATGAAAGGCCCCTAAGGGATGTGGGGGTGAGTTGAGGTGAAGAGGAGGCTTTCTAGAAAGAATTAATAGAAGTTGGGGAAGAGGAAAGACCCCAAGCCAACAGGAGGGCCTGAACAGCTGGCCCTCATGTATAAATGTATAGACATGAGAAGCAGGCTCAGTGTAGCATGGGAAGGAGATCCCCACAACATTTAGGGTTGCTGGAAGTAAGGTGAAGAGTGTCGAGAAGTGAGGCTGTGATGTAAGGGAACCAGGGAGGACGTGGCTAGATTTGCATTTATGAACAGTGCTATGGTGGCTGGGGTGGAGGATGGATTTGCAGGAGGCCAGGAGAGCAGTGTAGAGACTGCTGTGGATTCTAAGCAAGACCAAGTGAGTAAGGAAAGAAGACCCATCTGAGAAATGTCAGGACAAAGTTCTAGGGGGTCTTCGAGTTTATCTAGAGAAATACCGTCTTTGGAAACAAGTCTCATTCTATGAAATGGTCTTTCAATTACTCATCTTCACTGTAAGGGAGGAGTTTTGTCTTTTCACCCTGAAAAGAATTCTGAGTGCCATAACAGATGCAGAATAACTTGTTGGCCTGCTGACAGCAGGACCTGATTTTCTCTTAACTGGGGAAGGATCATAGTACCAGTTTAAGGGGTACAATGAGGAGATGGGTTAAACGAAAGTGGAGAGGGGGAGAGGGAAGGACTTGATGGCTCCCGGTGAGGGGAGCCGAGGACAGGGTAGAAGATCAGCTGGGGAAACTCTCTGGGGATCCCTGCCAGCCTGAGTAAAGTCAGGGCCCGTGAGAACTTCCTGCTCTTCTTTGTTCTGGTCCAGGCGTTTCCCTCTTCCCCTTCGGAGCACATGTTAGAGACGTGGAGTTTGTCAGGAGGACTGTGGACTTCACCTCGCCACTCTTCCAACCCCAGATTGGCTTCCCTTTCGGCTCCTCTCTCCGAGATTTCCTCTATGTGAGTCCCTGGCTGCAGCCCCAAGGGCAGGGTCTGTGACCTGTGCTCCCGGGCCCTGCTTCCCTGTCCAGGGCTCCGAGATGGTCCTGTGACTGTGACCGTGATCTTGAGGGGAAGGGAGGTGAAGGCGACACTTGCTAGGTACCTACTGTCCCCCTGCCTCTGACTCAGTTTGCATTCGGTCTTTACTGTCAGAACGTCAGCCCAGGAGACAGGGAGCTAGGCAAGGCTCGCCCACCCGCAGGGAGGAAAGTGTCTTTATCTCCATGAAGAGGTCCCCGGGCCCAGTCAGCTCTCTCCTGTTCTTACAGGGCCCTTTTGGTAGGCAGGAAGCTCTACTTGGGAAACCACTGTTTAATGCCGTTTACATTTTCTGCGATTATTTCCTGGTTCCCTGGTCCAAGTACCCAAGTGTCCTGGAGAAGAGTTGGAACCACAGTCATGGCCCCTGTGGCTCTCAGTGAGGGGGGCTGAGTAGGACACACTAGGAAAGTGTGACTCAGTGATGGGGTAAGGGTTTCAGTCCTTTGAGCCCCGTCTGATGTGGCATCATCTTCAGGATGGAGCCGAGGGGATTTACCCAGAGGGGTCTGCTCTGTGACAGCTTGGTCTAGAGATGGGAGCTGCTGCTGAAGCAGAACAAAAACCTACCACCTTAGGAAGGACTTAGGACGAGAGGACTGTCCTGAGGGTAGACCGTTGGTGTGAGAATTAAGTAAAGCGGGTTTTCCCAGCAGGGGGAGATGGATGACATAACCTTCCAGAGGTCGTTGACACCTCTAAAGTTCTACCCAGAGAGGCCTTTGGGGGGTCATGAGACTTTGAGGAGCTGTCCCAAGACTGCTCTGAATGTTAACCAGAAGAACCTTGGTGCTCAGTTCACAGATAACGGTCAGATCATTTTCCCGGAGACAGCGAACCAGATTTTCTCCTACCCTAACCCGCCCTTTCGAGGCTTCACAGGCTGGGACCGTCTGGCTGTGGTGGCTCCATTCTGGGATGATGCTGATTTCTCCAGCCGCAGGGGAACCATATTTTACCAGGTGGGCCTTTCAAAGTCTGGCATTCAGGATCCTCCAGAAGCCATGGAGGTGACGCAGGGCTGTGAGGAGGGCGGTGCACGTGTCACTGCCGTCAGAGCTGGGTCCCGTGTAGACTGGGACAGGTGCTTAAACGTGAGCATGGGGAGGAAGCAGATCAGGACTATCACATAAACTCAGGAATACCCTGACACAATCATGAGAAGACCTGCAGGTGACAGGGATGGGGGGAGGCAATCCAGAGTTTTAGTCTAGAATAAGGTTGTAGGGGATCTTTGCCAATAAGCCTGAGTCAAGTAGGGCTCTGTGTGTGCTCCTGGATTGGGTTAATGATCCCAGTATGTAGCAAAAGTTCCTGCAGGCACATGTGGACTGTGGCCCTGCCACGGACAAGGCACTGGGGAAGGTCCAAAGATAGAGAAACACACCTGTTCTCAAGGAGGTTCAAATGAGCACCGGCGCTTAGCTGTCCAAGCCAGTCTGTGCTAAGAGGTGTATGAGTTCAAGTCCAGAAGACCTGGGTTTCTCCAGTCCACACATTCCAGGTTTCCCTGCCGTTAAATCTGTATTAATTTTAAGATCCAAGGAGCTAATTGAAAATGTAGGTCTGGGAAAGGGAAGGATGTCAGACATAGATAGACTAAAGCGATCGGGGTTACCATACAAAAATGGGATCCCTCTGGGGTGTTGAGCTGGGATCCTCATTTCCTGGTCCTTAACTGCCTTCCTTTCCTAGGAATATGAGACGCTCCATGATGGCTACAGACCACCTGTAGTCCAGCAGGTGGAGTCTTGGATTAAAAGCTTTACGAACACCTTGAACTACAAAGCCAGGTGGACCCTAAAGGTCACATGGGTCAATGCCCCTGCCTATCCCGCCCAGTGGACCTTCGGGGTGAGTGGACCATGGACAGCTCCCTGAAAACCATCTGGAAGTCAGACATTCTAGAATCATACACAGGGGCCAGTCTTCTAAAACCCTCTCTGACTCAAGGACAGATTACTAATTATAGCACTTCTGACCCCCACCCGATACCAATCCCTCACTGTGCTCCAGGCTGTCCCAACCCTCTACTTTCACAACCTCAGCAGCCCAGAGTACTGGGTATTAGGAGAATGACATTTAGGAAACAAATTTTTGTTTGTTTCCAAGTGGTTGGCTATTGGCAATTTTATATGGCTCAACCTGATAATATTATCCACATTTTAGAGATGAGAAAGATGATGGTTAGCGATATTAAGCAACTTACTCAAGGCCATCCGGCTAGCAAATAACAAAGCCAGGCCTGGAACCGAGGTTTTTCTGAGTTCAATCGTACTGCCTTCCAGTGGAAATGGGCACACCATACACTCTCCCTAGTCTTCCCTCTGGGGACTCAGCTCCCACAGTCAGAAGTTCTCCCTTGTGTCTGTTCTGAAGTCATCCATCTCTTCATTGGTTCAACAAGTTCAGATTACCTACTTTGTACAAGAACAGTCCTGGCATTCTCCTTTAGAGGACCTCCAGTCTCACCTTCTGTGGTCTTCTCCACTAATCAGGTTGAGGAGACATTTGGACAATGTCCTTAAATATCCCTGAGGAAGCTACGTAGTCCTCTCTCAGCTCTCTGCTGTCTTGGTTAATCGCTCAGGTTTCTGACTCTTCCTTATACAAACTGTCTTCCAACGGGTTTCTAACCCAGAGCCTTTTATTGCCCCTCCCTGGAAAGACGAAGAAAGCAAATGCACCATGCTAGGGGCTTCAACACCAAGGGTGAAAGGTGCCCTACATACTCTCAAACGTGTCAGCGTTTTAAATCCTTTCCTCTAGGTAGGCCAGGAGAAGATGATGTGTGCACCGAGGTGGGGTGGGGGATGAACGGTGGGACGAGCGGGAGGGAGGACACTCCAGGTCTCTCACAGGCATCTCCGTGTTTGTCTTCAACCAATCCCCAGACCAACACCTACCAAGCCATCCTCTCCACAGATGGGAGCCAATCCTTCGCCCTGTTTCTCTACCAAAGTGATGGGATGCAGTGGGATGTGAGCCAGCACCCAGGCAACCGGGTCCTCATGGGCTTCTCCAGGTAGGACGGGGAGGGGCTGTCAGCAGATATGCAGGTGATTCCCTGTACACACATTCCCACACTCCGGGCGAGGCTGAATCCTCCTTGCTGATGTTTCTGACTCATGCTGGTGCCGGTTCCCATGAAAAGTTCCTAGTTCTTGCTGTTTTACATCAAAAGATCCCTATTCACTGCCATTCTCTTTCCTCCCCCAGAACCGCGCAGTGTAATATTCCTAGGGCTTGACTGCTCTGATTTCCACTGACATCAGTGGAGCTCTCAAATATCATATTAATAATAGCCAATGTTTATTATACTAAGTACTTAATATGCATTATTTCATTTAATTATTACCCATGAAGGAGATACTATTTATTATCCATTCTACAGATAAGAAAATTGAGGTGCAAAGAGATAAGTTATTGCCCAAAGTCACAGAGCTGGGAAGAGGCAAAGCAGGAATGTGAACTCAGACATCCGAGGCTGAAATCTGCCTTCCTGACTTCTGGTGCCCCTGGGCTGCAAATCAGCCCTCACCCAGGGCCACCAACAACTGTTCCATCTCTGGGAGAGATGCAGAGCAGAGGGATGGAGCTGTAGAGGGTGGCGTGGGTTCCTATGTGTGAAGGGGCTCAGTCTCTGACACGACAGCTCTCCACCTCGGTATTTCCTGGTGCCTGTGCGGGCAATCAGTTGTGAAGGTCGCATGTATTTAATTTGTTACCTGTAATTGTTGCGAATGCTCTTCTCTTAGAGGGTGTTCAGGATCACCCCTATAATTACACTGCTTTCGCTTGCTCTTGAATATGCAGTGAAGGAGAAAGGAGTGCAATTATCTAACTACCTAGGAATTTCACATCATCCCGAGTGTGCCTGCCCCCAGCCACGGTGTCACACCTGTGTGCCGTCACCCATCCTGTGTCAGAGAGGAGAGATCAGGAGCGCTGCTCTGAGGTGTGCCCCCAGAGTGAGGCCCCGGTCCAGGATTTTCTCCTTCCTGGAGTAGCGCTCTGAACCCCACCTCGGGGGTGGGGGGACACCTATTGCATCAGGCTCTCACTCAGTTCTGAGATTCACAAACGTGACTACATTTCATCCTCACAACACTGTGAGGTAGATGCTGCTGTAATCTGTTACCCAGAGGTGAAAACTAAGAATCACAAAGGTTAAGGAACTTGACCATGGTTACCAAGCTCCTACGTGCTGGAATCAGGAGTTGAACTCATGGCTGCTTACCTTCAGAGACCGGCTCTTAACCGCCCCAGCATACTGTCCCCACCACTCCCTAGTTGCAGGGAAACCAACCCGAAGGAAGACAGAACCCTGTTGTTTTCACACTCCCGCCTCACGACCAGTTCCTGGCGTTATCGATCAGATGTGGAACAGATTGGTCTCCCCACCCTGCCCCACCATCTCTTCCTCTTTCCTGTTTAGCGGTGGGAGTCAGTGATTCTAGCTGGCTGGCTGACCAGCCAATTGAATACTTAACCAGCTGGTAACTAATAACTAGTTGGACTGAGTGACTGGCGCTGAATGAATAACTTGCTGACAGAGGCCTGCAATTCTTTCCTTTGCCTGCAGTGGAGATGGGCTCTATGAAAACAGCCCCCTGACATTCCAGCCAGCGTGGCAGAAGTATCGTCCGGACCGATTCCTGAATCCCAACTCAGGTAAAACTGCCGCCTAAGCACACTTGCCGGTCTTCAGTGCTGTTCTGGCCTCCACTTCGTGGGCCGTGACAGTCCTAGCAGAGTTCTAGCATCCAGTGCTGCCATCCTGGACGGTGTCCCCAGCACGAACAGACCTCCCACAGATGTAACAGGGGCTTGGCACTGCCCAGGGAGCAGCTGGTACCTTCTGGGCCAGTGTCTGTAGGGGCTCTGTCTCCTCCCTGGGATGTACCAAACCCAGGAGGTCCCTGGGGGGCGGGGGGCAACCTCCTGGAAGTGAGGACAGGGGTGTGGCAGGGTATAGGAATATGAATGGGTAATTAGGACAATACTCCAAGTATCCTGGCCCAGAAATGGAATGTGAATCCAGATGAGATCCCTTAGAGAATCTATCAAGAGGAGGCCCAGCAGGCGGACATTCATTATGAACTGAGCACCTGCTATGTGCTGGGCACTGCGCTAAGAACCAGGGATATGGAATAAAAGGGGAAAGATTGACTATGAGCTCTCACTCTGGCAAGAAGGCTAATACTTCAGTGTCAGGAAGAAGCCCGGGGGCCTCCTCCCTAACTCAGTGTACTATCTGGAGGTCCCTAAGGGAAGGAAATTATCGTTGCCAAAATGTGATAGAACAAAGGACATTTTAGCATTCTAAATCAGCCATGTAAATCATGAAGCATGAATTCAATTCTGTTTGTTCTGCGGCAAGCACTTTCGGTAAACAGAAGCTAAGTAAATCATGGGTGCCATCTTGTGGAGAATGCTGCCCAGTCCGATCAGGCCCCTTCTGTCAAGATGCTTCGGCTTGTGACCTAGGAAGCACACTACGATAGAATGCGTGTGTGTGTGTGTGTGTGTGTGTGTGTAGAGTATCTGATATGTTTCCCCTGATACATGAACAAATAATCATAGACAATTATTATTCTTTTCAAAACCTTAACAAATTATAGTTATCTTGACAATTCTTTTGTGTGGGAACAGGGTCAAATCTAATGTCCTATTATATCTTCTTGGTCTCTGGAGCCCCCTTCTTACTCGTGGCAGCCCGGGTGGGCAGTATGTAACTTACACTGAATTGTAGGTCTATTTAAAGTTCAAATCCCCGGCAGGGTTTCTTCTCCCACTTCTCCCTTCCAAGGATGGTGTCTGCTTCCTCAGCCTTGCGGTGTGGACGCAGGTCCCAGCTTGACATGCCAGCTCCTCTGTGGCTTCTCAGCTGGCCTCTGAGCGTCGGCCTCTGGCTGCTTTGGCCACTGCGATGTCTGGGGTGGGAGAGCCGGGGTCAAGGATACAGTCAAGTGTCTGAGCAGGGGGCTAGTGGCTGGTGGCATCATTCACTGAGATACAGGGTGGAACTGGTGTAGGGGTATTAGAAGGTGCTGGAGCTTAGAGCGACAGACAAAAGAGTAGAGGACAGGGTGAACTGAAGTTCAGGGCCAGGGTTTGGCTCTGAGTTGGTACAGGAGAGCCCTCCTTGACCAGCCCTTGTCCCGGGTGTCACCCTAAGATCCAAGCTTTGAGAGCTTTCGGAGGTCCCATTAAACAGGTCTTGGGAGAGGAATTGCTGCCAATCTAAAAGGGATCTCACCCTTGGAAGAGATCCAGGGCGGGAAAGTGGCCGACAAAGGGTACGTGTCTGAGGTTTGATTTTCCTTAAAGCTAAAGCAGAACCTGTGGCCCCAGGCCCTGGGATGACCTCTCTTCCTTTGTTCCCCTAGGCCTCAGGGGGCTGCAGGTCTATAAGTTACACAGAGAAGAAAGACCCAACTACCGTCTCAGGTGCCTGCAGTGGCTGCAGAGAGAACCTCAGTGGCCCAGCTGGGGCTGGAACCACATCTCCTGCCCTTGCTCCTGGCAGCAGGGACTACAGGACTTACGATTCCAGCCCAACCATATAGGTGACACCTCCTTCCTGTCTCTTGGGGCATCTCCACTGTTCCCTGTAAGCCCACCCACCATCCTGTGGTCATGCCTAACCTGTCCTTTTCAAGGCACCTCTAGTCCCTCCCCAGAGACGCCCCCCCCTTCAATCCTGCCCCACCACAGGCATCCGGGCCTGAGTATGTTGAACTTGTTGCAGGCTGGTGGGGTCTCGGCAGCAGGCAGCTGTGCAGCTTCTCCTCCTGGCGTGGGGGCGTCTGTTGCAGCTACGGGCCATGGGGAGAGCTTCTCCAAGGCTGGAGAGTGCAGAGCCCTTGGCACCTTGGTATGTGTGTCCACAGAGATCTCAACCCCACTTCCACTGGAGCTCTCTGCTCTTTCCTGTCGGAGACCGGCCCTGGGCTCCACGCCAAGCGGTGGGACCCACAGAATCATTTCCCCTCCATTCCCTCCCAATTCCTGCTCCTCGATTTCCTGATCTTGTAACCCGAGGCAGCTCCCAACATCCCTCCCAGCTGACATGTCAGGGGTTGGTGATTGAGCGCCTCTTGCCCATCTTCACTTGGCCCTGTGGTCCCAGCCCGGAGCGGGAGCATCTTTCTAGGGAAAGGGAGGGTCCTGGTCTGACCCTGTTCCTCTGGACCAGGGTGATATGTGTTACCCGCTCCTCCCCGTAATCCAAGCAGCCTCCATGGTCCCATCAGCCACGCCTTCCCATTCTTAGCACTTTGAGATTAGTGGGACCCCGCACCCCCCTTTCGAGAAAGAAAGTTCTTTATCTTCAACCTTATGCCGACCCCCCTGGGAGCTGGCTGCAACAAGCCTGCAAGGGAGACTGTAACTGGTCAATGGCCTAAGGTCACTGAGCAGGGTGGGATCTGAACTGAGGTATGCCCGCTTTCCAAATCATGCCCTTGCCACCCATGTCATTCTGCCCCATGATCCTTCCAGTTGGGTTCTGCAGGTCCTCAATGTCCCAGCCCCCACCACCCCTGCTGCGACACACACACCCCCCCTCAACATGCTGCTCTTCTCCACAGAGCAAGAACTGGAGCCACAGGCCTGGTGTTGCCACTGGAATGACAAGACCTCCTTGTGCACCCTGTACCAACAAAGGCGGCCCCACATCAGCTGTGCAGGGTACCGGCCCCCCAGGCCTGGTGAGCTGCTGAGGCCCGCTTTGGAGCAGGCCCAAAACAGGATCTGGGGAGGGGTAGCTTCTTGGTGCCTGGAGCAAGGCTGAGGCCACAAGAGAAGGTGGAGATGGTTCTGGTGTTCGGTGGATGGCAGAGGGGCTTTGTACACAGTACTGGGGAAAGGGCGGGAATGGGGGATGGGAGATAATGAGCAGACATGGGTGGGATGGGGGCATGAAAATGCAGGAGGGCTTCCCGGAGAATTCTGTAAGTCATGACCACCTCCCCAGGCTTGGGTCTACCCAGGCAATGCCCTGCCTGGGGACAGTGGGGGATCTCAGACCTTTCCCTCCTCTGCCATGCCAATGTGGTGTCTCCTTTTTCCAGCCTGGATGTTCGGGGACCCACACATCACCACCTTGGATGGTGCCAATTACACTTTCAATGGGCTGGGCGACTTCCTGCTGGTTAAAGCCAGGGACGGAAACTCCTCCTTCCTGCTGCATGGCCGCACTGCCCAGACCGACTCGGCCCAGGCCACCAACTTCATTGCCTTTGCCGCTCAGTACAATTCCAGCAGCCTGGCCCCCATCACAGTGAGTGAGGCAGGGGTGCGAGACACCCCGGCTCCCCTCCCAGAGAGTCCTCAGGGACCTTCAGCTGGACATTGAGGCCCAGGAGGAGAGAGAGAAGGAAGGGAAGGGAACAGGAAGCGGGGAGGATGCCTCCTGCCAGTGTCGAGTCTGAGAGTCATCCCTGGAGTCACGAGGTTTGGATCCAGGCCCCACCAGTGACGTCTGAAGAGAAAGCTTAACTTCCAGTGCCTTAGTCTTCTGACGGTAAAATGAGGGTAATAAGATTACCTACCGCACAGGACTGCTGTGAGATTTTAATGAGATAATCTAAGAAGTGTGCCCAGCTCAGAGCCTGGCCTGTGCTAAGCACTCCATAGACATTAGGTAGAAAACCTCCCCGTCACACTCTCCATCACCTTCATCTTCAGCCAGGGCTCAGGTTCTAAGCTCTCTGCTGCCTCCTCTCTCCACCGCTGGGTCCACCTGCAGGTCAGGCTTAGTCCTCCTCCAATTTCCTTCCAGGTTCAGTGGCTCCTTGAGCCCAATAACACAATCCACATGCGGCTCAATAACCAGACTGTGACCTTTGGAGAAGGTAGGCCGGGAACAGCGGTGAGGGTTCAGAGGGTGCCCCACGCCTGGGAGCAGTGATGGGGTGTGGAGGCGGCAGTGCTGGGGCAGAGGAGACCGGTAGCCACCCCTACCGTCCCTTCAGCAGCTGTGCCAGGAGCCGGGCATCACACAGCCTCCTCACTCGCTCCAGTGCTGTGGCAGCTTCCCTGCGGAAGCCCCGTCTTCAGTCCCCGGTAGAAGTGGGCGGTGCAGCCTTGAGGGGTGTCCTGGGAGTTTGGGTTTGGAGCTACTGGAGAAGGAGCCCGCAGGACATCCCAGAGCTGCTTCCAGCGTCCTCTCTGCATCTGCCAAGTCTTGGGCCTGCAGGGACCTAACACTGGTTTCTTCCTCATTGGTCTCCCAACATTCTAGACCAGAAAATCTTCAACACCACTGGAGTCATAATGACCCGCAGCGGCTCCCTGGTGTCAGCCAGCCTTGACGGGACAGTGGTTGTCTCAGTGGTTGCTCTCTCCAACATCCTCCATGCCTCCTGCAGCCTCCCAGAGAACTACCGAAACCACACGGAGGGCCTCCTGGGTAAGAAGCAGGCAGGGCTCTGCCTCTGAAACAGCTCAGACCCCCAGACTGCAGGCGGCTCCCTCTCCCATTGGCCTGTGGACATCCCAGGCGGAGTTTCCCTTTCTCGGCCTCCTCAGAACAGAACCCCCGGAGCGGCAGGGAAGGACAGGGGCCTCTTCAGTTACCTTTGAGGCTCACTTGCCGGCCATCCGAAGGCTGCACTTCCCAGTCAGCCAAGGGCGCACCCAGGATGGCCTCTGAGGAGGGTGGGGCCAGCAGCCACCCTCTCCTCCCCGCATCTCACACCTTCCCTCCCCTCTCTCCAGCTCCTCCAGTCCTTCCTTCCTCCTTTCCTCCCCCTCCCTGAAGCAGAGTGGGTTCTGAGGTTAGGGTCCATCCTCTACCCTCCTCCAAGAGGACTGAACCAAGACCAGATGCAACAGAAAGAGGCTTCCTGGGCCCCCTCTCCACCTCACATCTTGAGTATGACCCGTTGGATGCTCCCCAGAGAGTGGGGAGAGCCACAGTCCCAGGCTGGCCAACCTCCTACTCTGTCCCTCAGGGGCCTGGAATGACAGTCCAGAAGACGACTTCAAGATGCCCAATGGTACCTCCATTCCCCAAGGGAGCACTGAAGAGATGCTTTTTCACTATGGGATGACCTGTGAGTCTGGACGTCAGAGTGCTGGGGGTTGATGGGCCAGGGCCAGGATGTCTCCCTCAGGCCTGTGGGAACCAGACCTCTGTCCTTCGTGAGGAAGGGGTGGAAAAGCCAGGAGGAGAAAGATTTCCCCCACACACATACTCCCACCCTTGTCTCTCTATCTGGAAGAGAGGATGAGGGAAGCGAGGGACGCTCAGTCACTAGAGCAGGGATTTCCAGATTCATAAGCTGGGAGTCAACTTGTCCTTTCATGTCCCCTCCCCCATCTCAAGCCAAATAAAGTGAGGGTCAGGGTGGACACTGCTGAAAAACAGCTGCAGTCCCATCCCTGGTACCACCGCCCTCAAACCTGGTGTGTTATAGGGAAACTCGACGGAACAAGCCTCCTTGGCAAGAGGGACGACCACCTGCCTTCCAACTTCACCCCTGTCTTCCTTTCTCAACTGTTGAAAAACAACTCTGAGGACAAAAATTTGACCGGGTGTAACGGAAATAAACAATGCATCTATGACACCCTGGCCACAGGAAACACGAACACTGGACTGGACACGTGGAAGCTCTTTCGAGTATACCAGCAGACGAACGCCACCCTCAGTAAGTGGCAGAAAGCCCAGAGAGGCATTTTCAGAGTTAGACGCAGATGAGGAGCCCCCTTTCATGACACTCCTTTAAGCTACACATTTTTTTAAATTTACTCAGTTCTTTGACTCATGTTATTCCTCTGCTCAAACCCTCCCACGTCTGCCCAGCTCACTCTGTCCTTATGATGACTTTTAAAGCCGTATCCAATTTGCCTCTTGAAATGTCCTAGTACTCCCGCCTCGCTCCTTCTACTCCAACCCCATTGCCTTCTTTGTGTCCTTCAAACACGCCAGGCTCACTCTCAGCTCAGAGACTCCACACAGGCTGCTCTCTTGGCCTGGAACTCCCTGCCCCCAAGCAGTCACAGGCTTGCCCCTCACCTCCTTCAAGTCTCTATTTAAATGTTACCTTTCTTGGCTAGCCTGTCTAAATTTCACTTTCACCCACAATCCTATTCACTTTCCCTGCTTTTTTTTTCTTCTCTCCTTAGCATTTATGACTATCAAACATATTTTCTAATTTTCATAGGTATCTTTTGTATTATTTGTTAGCTGCTATGTCCTCACTATCTAGAACAGGGCCAACTATATAGTAGGTGCTCAATAAATACTTGTTAAGTGACTGAATGAATAAATGAATGGATGGATGGATGGATGGATGGATGGATGGATGAATGAATGAACAAACAAAAAATTAAATGGGAATAGCAGGGCTCAAAGAAACAGAGACCAGTGAAAAGATTGAACTCCCAATTTTCTGGCAAATGCAATGCCCATTTAGATATCACCCTCACAGTTCTCAGCTCTCTCTCAGGGTAAAACTCTGTGACGATCTGAACAACTCTGTTTTTTTATTCACTTCATACCAAGCCCAGCATAGCACTCTGATCAGGAGAGAACTTGAAATGAATCCCATTTGGGGGAAGATAAAGAGAGTAAAGATCTGGCCAGGTGGACAGTACAATCCCCACCTGCTCTGCATAGGTCTGAGAGCAGGTGCACAGAATAATTCCTCCTCTAGGGGCGGGTCCCAGTCCTGTGAATGCCTCCCACGAGCCAGAAGACTGGGGACAGAGGCGAGAGAGTGTCCTACTCCGGCCCCAAATCCCCTCTTTGTGTTCCAGATCAGTACCCACCCTCTATTGGTGGCCCCCAGGTGGTGAAAGCCTTCATGGGGCAGCCCAAGCTGTTTGACTATGGAAGCAGCTCTAAGGATGTCACATTCACTCTCAGAAACAACCCCAGTGATGACTTCAAGCTTTTTGGTAAGAATGCTTGGCTGGGAACATAGGGGATGAGTTCAGAGTCAAGCTCGGGGTAATTTCACATACTTTTTCATTGGAATAGTGATAGGCCTGTGGAGATCTGGCCGGCTAGCTAGACTGACTCTGGGCATGTACAACTGCTTCAAAGATCATTTCATCACAATCGAATAATAAATGTTCACCGTTCACCATCTTTGTGCAACCAGCAAACGATTAGAATAAAGTATAACCAACAATACTAGTTTAAAAGATTTTTATATCTACTTTTTAAAAGGATATAATGTGGGACAAGATTTAAAGAAAATACAAATACCTTCGTTTGGAACATCTGCCGACGTTTTTATGTTTGTCAGCCATGCTTACCTAACTTTGTCTCTCCTTGTCTGCTTCTCTGTGCTGGGACAAAGCAATGCTTCATCTCCCTTTCTCAGTAATGGTGTGGAGACCCCCAGGCCTGCAACCATGATCTGGGCCAAAGGGTCAAAGCCTACAGGTTGCAGCTTGCCTTCTGCTGCCAGCCCTAATTATGCTGCTGACGGTTCTTTGCTAAACCAAATCTCTAGGGAACTTATTCTGAGCTCTGAGCACCTCTCTGCCTCATTTTCTTTCTCTGTGCATAAGAAGGGACTGCTTTGTCTGTACCCCTTTGCTCCATGTGGCATCTTCCCAGGGTCTAGGCAATGGCATCAGATTTTCTCTTCCACTGGACTCTTCTACTGAAGAGTGACAGCCTGGAAGTTACTCTTGTCTTTACCCACTGTCAGGTCCTCTTAACCTGCTGTTTTAAGTAGACGTTCCTATTTTTTGGAAAAGCATAAGACGGGTTTGATCAGAAGAGTCCTTATTGATATGTAGCAGTGTTTCACTGCAGTCTGGTGTCTGAAGGGGTGGCCGGGCAAAGGTCCAGGAAGTGAGACAAGTGGGCAGGAAGGCAAGGGGCTACTGAGCAGGTGAAGCCAGTATGGCCTGCAGTGTAGCCTGGGGATGTGTCGGGAGGATCTGGCCTTCATCCTCCATCCCTGCTGGATGTCCCATCCCGGTGCAGGCCCAGACAGGTTGCCCTTTGGGGGTTTCTTCAGGAGGCAACTGCGTTCCCCTCTATGGAGTCCCACCCTACAATTGGTTAGTTGGGCTGGTGCTACCTCCAGCTTGGAGCATGTCCAGGATCCCCCAGGAAACCAGCCTTGCTCAAGGAAATGCCTGATGAGGTTTGCGGGGTGGTCTGGGCGAGGTGGGGGAAGTCCAGCATCAGCTCTCAAGGTGTTAAATGCCAAGATGTGTCAGATGGCAGAGAAGATGAGGCGTCCACCTCTCCACAATCTCGTCTTCCCTGGGGCAGAGAATGGAACACTGCTGTGGACACCCAACTCGATGCAACCATTCACTCTGGAGATTCTTGCAAGAAATGTCAAGAACAACTTATCATCTGTAGCCCGGCCGAAGACTGTGGTGTGTGCCTGCAAGAAAGAGAAACAGTGTTTATACAACGAGACCAGCAGGGTGGGCAATGCCTCCCTGGAGGTGAGTGCTGGGAGGGGGGCGGGAAGGAGGTGGGACTGAGGGGAGGTCCGCCCCTCTGTGGTCGTGTGTGTGTGTGTGTGTGTGTGTGTGTGTGTGTGTGCGCGCGCGCGCTGTGGTAGGTGAGTATTGCAGATAACAGTCTCAGGCCACAAAGTTGTTCATGTGAGAAATAGAACTTTATGTACTGCTTATAGCTCAACTGAATTTGCATCTCCGAGCTCCCATTCTGCCAGGCTGGTAGGAAACTTCCATTTCAGGCTTTCTTAGAGTTCCCCAGTGGTCCTCAGCTCCATGTTTTGGAACAAGGCACAGAGGTGTGGGGTAGGAAGGCGTGGCCCCTGGGCAGGGGTTTACACTGATCCCAAGCTCCATACTCCCTCCTCTTCAGACCCAGGGAGGTGCTCCGCGGTTCTGTGCCTTGTTCAGACACAGGCAATATTTTATAAGGTGGCTTAGTGTCCCTCATAGCCATTTCTCCCTGGGGTCTTATCATCGTGGTGTGGGGAAGAGAGGTGGGGGGACCCAGGGGCTGGAAAAAGGAAAAAATAGAGAGAGTAGGAAAAAGAGATTAAGATCAGTGTATTACTCTGCATATCCCAAAACATCTAGTTTTCGAAGTAAAAGTGTTGAAGAGGTGCATTTTGGGGAGATTTCCAGAGTCATCTCAGGAGAGGGGTCAGAAAAGGGAGACCGTGGAGCTTGATGAGGTTTCCAGAACCGCTCCCCTCCCTGGGCCATTGTGCTGGTCACATGAGTTCTCACTGTGCTGAGCAGTAGTGCTCTGTCTTCTCGGTTTGGGAATCAGCGAGGGAAGGATGAGCAGGAAACTGCAGCTTTCAGGGGATCCAGTTTTCAAGGGATAGTAGAATAGCTATCTATTTATTTATCTAGACCCCTTCTTCCTCTAGAAAGGATTTCCGGCAAGAAGACGTGGTGTGAGAGGGCAGAGGCAGAGCACCTGGGCCAGGGGCCAGGCAGGCAGAGGGGCAGGGGGAAGACTGGCCCAAGGAGCCGAGTGGGCTAGAGATAGAGACCATGTGCTTTTGGACAGGGACATGCCAGCCCGGGGCCTGGTCAAGAAGGTGCTCAGTAGATGCTGGCAGAAATAAGCAAGGACTCAGGGTCCTTGGGTTCTCAGACCAAAGGGTTAGTACTGAAACACCCAGATGCCCTTCATGGTTCAGCCTCCTGCTGCCCTGTAACAAGCAACCCATTCCAGGTGGCCGACTGCAAGTGTGACAAGAACACCTTCGGTCAATACTGTGAGCACTCCAAGGACTACTGTGAGGAGCAGTGCTTCCCGAATGTGAAGTGCATTCCTGGGAAGGGCTGCGAGGCTTGCCCCTTGAACTTCACCGGGGATGGGCGTCACTGTTCACGTAAGCTGGGAACAGGGCCCTGGCAGGAAAAGGTTCTGGGGACAGGTGACACCTGGAGGGTCTAGGACAGCCATGAATAAACAATTTCTCTCCTTTTTTTTTTAGCAAGTATTTGGAATAATCAACATGGGTGGTTGTGGTAAGGAGGTAAAGTAGGCATGGTAGGCTGGGAGGCTGAAGGAGAAGAGATTGTGTAGGCATTGGGGAGAGGCCAGGGCAGAGCAACCCTGAGACAGGATGGGGAAAACCCAGGGCAAATGATTGGAGGTGGCCTGGAAAAGAGAGAAAACTTCTGGCAGAGCCAGGGATTCAAGGCCCAGGGTCTCCATATCCCCCCAGTCAGGACATTTGGAGGGACTGTCATGAGCATCTGGAGGCAGGGGTGCCTCGTTTTCCCTTTGAGTCCTCCTGCCACCATCTGTTCTTGACCTTGGAGCCACTGGAGTCATGATGAGGAAAAGAAGGCCTACGCTAAGCCCAAATGAAATCTGAGCGGAGGCCAAAGTGAGTAGAACCACATCCTTATAAAGGCAGAAAAGGAACAGAAGTGGGGAAAGCCTTCTGGGCCCTTTCCTGATGTGGAGGAACTGATAGACACTCTCTTCCCTCAGCAGAAGTAGGCAAATGCTTACCTGGTAGGGGAAAGGCTTTTCCAGGAGAGAAGTGCCTGGAAAAGGGAGAAGGATAGTTGGCGTTCAGAGTGGCCCACAAGTAAAACATAGATTGAGTGGCCTTTGGGGGAAAGAAACCAAGCTGTCCTGGGAGCAGCTTTTCTTGGGCTGGGGGTTCCCCACTGCTGTCCAGCATGGTGTTGCTGACCTCGGCTCCCTTTGCAGTTCTGGAAGACTCTAGGCTCTGTAAGAACAACTCCTGCCCTGTGGATTACTGCTACAACTCGGGCCGTTGCTACATCTCCCAGTCTCTGGGCTGCCAGCCCGCCTGCATGTGCCCCCCAGCCTTCACAGATGCCCGTTGCTTCCTGGCTGGGAACAAGTTCACTCCAACCATCATTTTAGGTATCACCAAATGTCCCCACCATCCTCACCACCACTTTTCTCTCTCTTAAGGGAAGATTGGGGACTCTCGGGGCCAGAGCAAAGTTCCTCAAACTCACAGAACAGAACTCCAAATTTCTCTCGGGTGGTGATAAGTTGGAAGCTATGGGAGCTGGTGGCGGCAGCATGAAGTATGGGCTGGAGTGGTCTTATGAGAAAAGACTGAAGGTGACCTTATGGCTCAGTGAGAAGAGAGTCCGGGGAGTCCTAATCATAGTCAAATGAGCTCTAGTGTAAAGGTCAGCAGACTCAGCCACTTCTCCTGATCTATCACTGAAGAATAGAGAGGTCTTCCTAGACCGGCCCAATGGTCTCTTTGCATAAGTTTGGGTGCATCCGTGGTGTGATTGTGAATCTGCTTCTCCCATCTCCAGAACTTCCCTTAAGAACCATCCAGCTCTATCTTAGTGAAGAAGAAAATGCCACTGAAGCAGAGGTCAACGCTTCGGTTAGTACTGCAGGTGGCTCTGGGTGGGGAGGAAGATATTGGCAGGTTCAGCACGGGGTCTTAGCCATTACTGTGTGTTCTGCAGTTTCATCATCCATCTAGATTCAATTATCAGAGGAGATGGGAGCCTCCTGCCTCAGGAAAGGTCCGAGGTGAAGAAGGCAGGAAGCCTCAGGACAGAGACTTCTGAGGAGGTTGGAATGGCCAACTTGAAATGAAAGAGTTTAGGGTAGCTGAGTCACCTCAGCCTTCGAGACCAGCATTTGGGTAGTATATGGAAGAGACACAAGTAGGCCTTTCACCTCCAGGAAGCCTTCCCTGACTTCCCAGAGGGGACTGGAAGGTCCCTCTTCTTGGCTCCCATCTCCTGTCCATTCCTCAGTCACAGGCAAAGTAACACAGTGGTTGAGTTATTGAGGCTATAGAATCCTACATACCTAGGTTCAAATCCAGACTCAACTATATACCCATTAGACCAGGTATAATAATTAGACAAACTATTTGATGTCTCATCTATAGAAATAGAAATAATAATCATACCTATATCAGTGGGTTGTGTCAAGGTTTAAATGATAACATATATAAAGTACTTAGCATTGTGCCTGAAACGCAAGTGTTCTAAATTAGAATAATAATTACTACTACTATTATTACTGTTACTATTCCAGCATGCTACACTCTGGTAAAATCTGTGGACATTTGTCTGCTGTACCAGGCTATGGGTCTTTGAATATGGACTGTTCCTAAATCACATTGACAGCTACTGATCATTTCCTAGGTCTGGCTAAACATAATCTATACTCAGTATACATGTTGGGAGAGAATGAGTGGGTGAGTCAGGGATCAGAGACCAGATGGGGGCCATTCAAGATTCTTTCCTTGTAATAGGAGGCTGAGAGTGGGGGTATGTATGTAAAGTCCTTCACTCACTGACAAACTTTTTTTTTTATCCTCACCCAAAGACATTTTTGTATTTATCCTCAGATAGAGTGGGAGGGAGAGAGGGAGAAGGAGAGAGAGAGAAACATCAATGTGAGAGAGACACATCAACTGGTTGCTACCCACACAACCCCAACCAGGGCTGGGGACAAACTGCAACAGATGTACGTGCCCTTAGTGGGAACTGAACTCAGGTCTCTCTGGTCCACCAGCCAACGCTCTGCTGAGCCAAACCGGCCAGGGCTCACTGACAAACTTTTATTAAGCAGGGACCTATGCCAGTCATGAGGCTAGGCTGGGCGTGGGGATGCAGAAATAGATGAGATGGGGGTCCTGGGGCTCACATTCAAAGATGGAAACAGACGGGGATGAACAAATGCATTTAAGTGGGAGGGGTCTCTTCTTTGGACTGGGCCTCTTCCCACCCTCATTACTACCAACTGTCTACCCTAGGTAGCCTACAGACTGGACAAGCTGGACATGCGGGCCTTTCTCTGGAATAGCAGAGTGCAAAAAATGTAAGTGGGATTGTTCCTGCAGGTCCCCGAGTCTTCCCTCATACCCCTCACCCCTTAGCCTCTCACTCTGTCCCTCCCACACAGTGGCCCTCCAGCAGCACTGGCCTCAGGAAAATCCCTGCAAAGGTGGGAAGTCTTTTCGGAGTTCCAGTACAGCCCTCGGGGTCCTGTCATTGACTTCCTGAACACCCAGCTGCTGGACGCAGTGGTGGAAGCATTTTTACTGAAGGCGCCTGTGGGGAAGTGGAAGAGAAGTGAAGAGCCCAGGAACAACGTAGTCTTCTGCCCCGTCTCCAGGAGAGATGTGCTCAGCGTGATAGCTTGTGAGTCACTATCTTGGGGACAGTCCCAGGGATAGCTGAGGGAGGAAGTCAATGGAGGGAGCCTGTCACAGATAGTCCACACAAACCCATGGCAACAAAAAAGTATTCTAATTGCAAGAAACAAGTAAATTTAGTACTTTTGTTTGTAATTTTTGAGAGAAATTGTAGACATTTTACCCACTAGCTTTCTAGATCCAAGAACAGAAGCATAAAATACTATTTGATAAACCCCCATGTGCACAGTTTCACAGAGCAATGACCCCAACTGCCACCTTCCTAGCCACTACTACTAATGGTTAACTTTCTTTTAATAAAATTCGTAGTGATTTTCTTAACATACCATTGTGCTTTATATACATAAAGAAAGGCATCCTTTTGCCTTTGTCATCTAGCTGGAGGATATTATGTTGAAGGCTGGAGACCCAGCTCCGGGGCAGAGGTGTCCCCTCCCTGAAAGGGTATAATCCTTTGCAAAAGCCATCCCCAGTCCAGGCCTCAACACCCCCATCTAGAAAATGAGATGGGATTTCTGAAGTCCCTTTCAGCTGACAGGCCCTGACTATCCCGGAATGGGAATGAGATAGGTTGACGAGCTTGTCAGAGAAGGAAAGGAATAGCCCACCCTATTTTGGGAGTGGGACAGAGAACAGGGCAGTGACCATGCCAAACCCAACAGAAGCTGCTGTGTTATTCAGGTCCAGGACCAGGCAAGAGCTTCTGCTAGAATTCAAGCTAAGCCTCTTCCCTCTTGGGGACAACAATGAAATCCTCCGAACTTTTGTTCAAAAAAAAAAACACCCATAGGTTTTATTATACAAGTACGATATGTTTATTGTATAAACATTAGGAAACAAAAAGAGAAAAAAAAATCACCTGTAATTCCAGTCCCCAGAGACAACTCCATTTTGCACATATCCTTCTGATTTTTCTTTTATGCATAGGCACCTTCATACATACCAGTTTGTTTTACAATAAAGGGATCAAATTATACCTAATGTTTGATAAACCTTTTAAACAATTGTGAACATAATTCTTTGTATATTGTGGGCATATTTCCATTTGATAGTTTTAATAATATATTTTAACATACTACGGTATAATGTATTTTAAATGGAATATTATACTAATAGTGACTGTTAATTTAGTGTTTACTAAAGGCCCCTCTGGGGAGGTGGAAGAAAAGTGAAGCGCACTAAAGTGTCAGGCACTATACTGAATACTCTGATACATATTATCTCATTCAAAGTTCATAGCAAGGTCGTTGTATTATCATTTTCTTTTAAAGATAAGGAAACTGAAGCTGAAAGAATTAAGAAATTTTCCCAAATCGCACAATTAGTTAGTAGTAGTTTGAATTTCAACTCAGGTCTGGCTGACTTCAAAGCATATGCTCTTAACCAACGCCTTTTCCATACCGTAGTGCTTACTGGTCGCACAATATTCCTTATTTAACAAAACTTCTACTAAACGTTGTTATTATTTAAACCATGCTGCTCTGGACTTAGTGGACATATGTATTTTTGCACTCTTCCAATTATTTCTAAGGATAATGCCTAAAATGGAGTTCTTGGTTGAAAAAGTAAAGATTTGGTATTCATCAATTGCTCTCTGTGTTCATCTGTGTTCTGCCTGTCAGGGAACGTCAGCGCGCTGCAGCCTTACTTACGTTGCAACAGCTACAAGGGCTACGAACTGGTCTACAGCCCGCAGGACGGCTTCACGTGCGTGTCCCCATGCAGTCAGGGCTACTGTGAGCACGGAGGCCAGTGTCGTCACCTGCCGGATGGGCCCCGCTGCAGGTGAGGGGGGAGGGCGGCAGGGGGCACGGGGCAGGGGGCACGGGGCACGGGGCACGGGGCACGGGGCACGGGGCAGGGGCAGTGCTTAGTCCTCTCCTCCCGGGTCCACGCAGGGGCGGCTGGAGCCGAGGGCGGGGCCCAGCTCGCCCGGCCGCTGGGGCTGCGACTGCGCATGCTCACCTGCGGCGCATGCTCACCTGCGGCCAGCCCCGCTGCTCAGGGGAAGCCGACCGTGTGAATTCACACCACGTTGCTTCGTTTGCCCAGTGGCCTCTCTCCAGCATCACCTCAGAGCTGACTCGGCCTCGTTCCCTAAAGGGGAGCCCAACCTGTCGTGGAAAACCTCCTCTGGCCCCGCAGGAGAGGATGGCGAGGCTGAGCGCCGCCCCTGCCCTCCTGACCTGCCCCCTCTCTTTGTCTCCAGCTGTGTGTCCTTCTCCATCTACACGACCTGGGGCGAGCACTGTGAGCTCCTGAGCATGAAACTCGGCGCCTTCTTTGGGATCCTCTTTGGGGCCCTGGGCGCCCTCTTGCTGCTCGGGGCCGTGGTGTTTGCGGTCCAGCGCTTCTGGTGCTCCGAGGCGCGGTCCTCCTACCTCGTGGATTCAGAAAGCTGAAGCCTCATCCCCACCCACAGCTGTGGCCTAAAATACCTCGAGACCCACCCCAGCCACACCCACATACTTCCAGCCGCCTTCGATTTGGGGAGATTGGGGAAAGGGAGATGACTGAAGGTGATTGAGGATTCTTCAAGGAGAATGAGTAATGGGAATGAATTATGATAAAGACAAGAGCACAACTTATCTGTTTACACAAAGGTGGACTGGAAGAGACCCTAAAGATCTACTACATAAAGGCATGGATTCTCACACAGGCATACTCACGAGGAGGACTGACCTACACACACACACACACACACACACACACACACACACACCAGAGTTAATAATGGGGTGACGGCTCTAACTTAAAAGTCAAAATGCATTTGCACAAAAACTCTTCAGTTTACTTCTAACTAAAGTCTATTTAATAAAATCTCTCTGATTTTTTGTGTTTGCAAAGCCATGGGTTTTATTTGTTATTTTCCTCTGTTGGCTAAAGGTCTAGGCACCGAATGGAGGAGCCCAGGTGGGTTAGACCCGGTCCTGTTTCAGCCCTCAGGACTCCATGCTGGGAAACTCAGTTGCTCCAGCCCAGACTCGGATCCTTTCTTCTGCCTCCACATCACTTTCTTCCCCTCACCCCAACATAGGCCAAAGCCTGGCCTTCTAGGAGGAGGGTGGAGATGCCTCCCACACTTTTTCTGTCCTTTCTTGTGTCCCAGGCAGAGTCTTCTGAGCTTTTCCACCCTACAGCACGACTCTGCTTGTTCCCAGCAAGCCGATCAGTTTCCACAGTATCCTCTCTTAGCAGGCAGAGCTTGACACCTCTCTTGTGAAACAGTTCCAACAACTGGTCCACAACTCCTGTGTCCCAAGTACTTCAACTCCAACTCTGTGCAGAAACTGGGTAACTGCCTCTTGGTACCAAATACCAAATCCCTGAAGAAATCATGTGATTGGTCCAAATTATGTCTGTTGTCCATCTCTGGTCCAATCAAGGGTGGGCCTAGAGTAGGACAAGAGGTCACATGATACAAATCTGGAGCTCATGCTCACTCTTATAGGTGAGTGAGTAGTGGTGTTGGAGGAAGTTCCAATGGAAACATGGTCTTTCATCTGGGCAGAAACTCCAAACTCTCTGATTTACATAGTGAATAATTTCTCCCAGCAGGTGAAGCCCCTCTCACATGTACAAAGCTATGGCTTTACCCTCAAATGCCCCAAAATGTAATCATGTCTCCATATAAAGCCACATTTATTTAATCCCAGTATTCACTTATCAAGACTTAAGCACAGTCCTGGCCAGAGTTATTCGGTGGTTAGAATGTCAACCTGAGCAACAAAGGGACTCAGGTTAGATTCCTGGTCAAAGGCACATACCTGGGTTGCAGGTTCAATCCCGGGACCTGTCAGGGGCATGTTCAGGAGGGAATCAATCAATATGTCTCTCTCACATCAATGTTTTGCTCTCTCTTTCTCCCTCTCCCCCTTCCTTCCACTCTCTCTAAAAATCAATGGAAACAATATCCTTGGGTGAAGATTTCAAAGAAGAAAAGAAAATTAAGCACATAGCCCAAATGGGTTCACTGGTAAATTCTACTATATTTCAGGAATAAATTCCACCAATTCTCTATAATCTCTTTCAGAATATTGAAGCAGAGGGAATATCTCCTAATTCTTTTTACAAGGCCAGCATTGCCCTAATACCAAAACCAGAATAAGACATCACAAGAAAAAAAAAACTATGCACCAATAGCTTTCATGAACATAAGTGCAAAAAATTCTCAACAAAATATTAACAAATTGAATCCAACAATGAATAGAAAGAATTATACATCACAACCAAGTAGTATTTATCCCAGGTATGCAAGGCTGGTTCAACATGCAAAAATCAATTAGTATAATCTATCACATCAATAGACTAAAGAAGAAAAATCATATGATCACATCCATAGATTCAAAAAAAACATTTAATAAAATCAAATGCCCATTTATGATCAAAATTCTCAACAAACTAGAAATAGAAGGAATCTTCCTCAGGTTGATAAAAAGAAATCTGTATGATGTTAGATGAATACAAGACTTATGTGGTGATCACTTCATAAGTCATAAATATCTAATTATTATGTTATACATCTGAAACTAATATATTATATATCAACTGTAATGGAAAAATAATATATATCTACAAAAACCTACAGCTATCATACTGAATGGTGAGAAACTGAAAGCTTTCCAGCTAAGACTGGGAACAAAGCAAGTTGTCCCCTTTTCAGCATTATACTGGGAGTCCTAACTAATTCAAATACAAAAAAAGAAGTAAAGAATATACAGGTTGGGAAGGAAGAAATAAAACTGTCATTGTTCACAGATGACATGATTATCTATGTTGAAAATCTGAAAGAATTGATTTTTAAAAACTTATGAGCCCTGGCTGGTTTGGTTCAGTGGTTAGAGTATTGGCCCGCGGACCTGAGAGTCCTGGGTTCGGTTCCCGCTAAGGGCACATAACTTGGTTGTAGTTTGTCCCCAGCTCTGGTTGGGGTCGTGCGGGTGGCGACCACTCAATGTGTCTCTCTCACATCATTGTTTCTCTCTCTCTCTCTTCCTTCCTCTCTCCCTCCTGCTCTATCTGGAGATAAATGCAAAAATGTCCAAGGTGAGGAAAAACACACACAAAAGAACTTATGAAACTAATTGTGATTTTAGCAAGGTTGTAGGATACATGGTTAATGTACAGAAGTCAATAGCTCTCTTATATACCAGCAATGAACAAACAGAATTGGAAATTGCAAACACATTACCATTTACATTAGCAACCCCCAGAATTAAATACGTAGGTATAAATCGAACAAAATATGTATAAGATCTATATAAGAAAAACTACAAAACTGATGAAAGACATCAAAGAACTAAATAAATGGAGAGATGTTCTATGTTCATGGATAGAAAGACTCAATATTGTTAAGATATTAGTTCTTCCCACTTTGATCTATGCATTCAATGCAATCCCAATCAAATCTTAGCAAAATGTTTTGTAGATATTGACAATCTGGTTCTAACATTTATTTGGAGAGTCGAAAGACCCAAAATAACCAACTCAATATTGAAGAAGAATAAAATCAGAGAACCTACACTCACAACATCAAGACTTACTTTTAAGCTAAGTACTGTATTAGCCATAGTAATTAAGACAATGTGGTGTTGGCAAAAGAATAGACAAATAGAGCAGTGGAACAGAATTGAAAGCCCTGAAATAGACCCACATAAGTATAGTCAGCTAATCTTTGATGAAGGAGCAAAGGCAGCATAATGAAGCTAAGAAAGCCTTTTCAACAAATGGTTTCAGAACAACTAATGTCCTCATGCAAGAAAATGAATCTAGACACAGATCTTACACTTTTTTAAAAATTCTCATCTGAGGATATCTTTCTATTTATCATCAAACAGAGTGGGAGGGAGAGAGACAGAGGGAGAAAGACAGAGAAACATTGATGTGAGAGAGCTACATCGACTGGTTGCCTCCCGCACGACCCGACCAGGGCCAGGGACAAAGTGCAATCGAGGTACATGCCCTTGACTGGAATCGAACCCACAACTCATTGGTCTACGGGCCAACACTCTAAAAACTGAGCCAAACCAGCCAGGGAAGATTTAACACTTTTTACAAACATGAACTCAAAATGGATCATAGACCTAAATATAAAACTATTAGAAGATAACATAGGAGAAAACCTAGATGATCTTAGGTATGGTGATAACCTTTCAGATACAGTACCAAAGACATGATCCATGAAAGAAAGAACTGATAAGCTGGATTTCATTAAAATTCAAAACTTCTGCTTTGTGACAGACAATGTCAAGAGAATGAGAAGACAAGGCACAGACTGGGAGAAAATATTTGCAAAAGCACATCTGCTAAAGGCCTATTATTCAAAATATACAAAGGACACTTAAAACTAAACAATAAGGAAACAAACAACCTGATTAAAAAATAGGCAGAAGACCCGAACATAAACCTCACCAAATAAGATATGAGATAGTAAGTAAGCATATGAAAAGATGTTCAACATCATATGTCATTAAGGAATTACAACTCACACACCTATTAGAATGCCCAAAATCCAAAACACTGGCAGCACCAAATATTGGTGAGGACATGGAGCAAAAGGAACACTCATTCAGTCGCTGGTGGGAATGCAAAATGGGGCAGCCACTTTGAAAGACAGTTTGGCAATTTCTTATAAAACTAAACATATTTTTACCATATGCTCTAGCAATTACACTCCTTCATATTCACCCAAAGGAGTAGAAAATTTATATCCACACAAAAACGTGTATATGTATGTTTATAGTAACTTTATTCATAATTGCTAAAACTTGGAAGTAACCAAGATGTCGTCTAGTAAATTAGTAGATAAATAAACTATGGTACATCCTGACAATAAAATATTATTCAGTACTAAAAAGATATGAGCTTTGAGCCATGAAAAGACACGAAGGAAACTTAAATGCATATTATTACATGAAAGAAGCCAATCGGAAAAGGCTACATACCTATGATTCCAAGTATGACATTCTGAAAAAGACAAAACTATGGAGACAGTAAAAAGATCAGTTGTTGCCAGGGATTGGGGGGAAGGAAGAATGAATAGGAAGAGCACAGAGGATTTTTTAGGGCAGTAAAAAATACTCTGATATTACAATGATGGATGCATGCCATTATACATTCCTTCAAACCCATAGAATGTACAACATCAAGAGTGAACCCTAGTGTAAACCATGGACTTTGGGTGATAATGATGCATCGATGTAGGTAACAAATGCACTATTGTGGGGAATGTTGATAGTCTGGGGAGGTTGTAAACATGACAGTGGGGGGAGGAGATATATGAGAACTCTGTACTTTTGGCTCAGTTTTGCTGTGGACATAAAATCACTCTAAAAAAGAATAAACCTTATTAGTTTAAAAAATAAAACATCTCTAGTAAAAAGAATGAAGCATATTTGGCACTGGAGAGAAATGGAGTGGAGGAGAGGTGGGGTGCGTTGCCCAGCAGTTAGAAAGAGGGCCATGTGGCTCAGTGGATTGAGCGTTGTCCATGGTTGCTGTTCGATACTCGGTCAGGGCACATGCCCAGGTTGAGGGCTCAGTCGCCAGTAGGGGGCGTGCAGGCGGTAGCTGATTGATGTTCCTCACATCAATGTTTCTCTCTCTCTTTCTCCCTTCCTCTCTCTCTACAAAAAAAAAAAAAAAGATCAATAAAAACATTTTTTTTTTAAATAGAGAGGAGGTTGTAAAACAAGGCGAGAGGGAAGATGCAAGCATGGTGGACTGATGAGACTGCTCTGGCCCTGACCATTGCAATCTCAAGACTAAGTTATGTGATGAGGACTTT